CCCACTGGGACCAGTTCCAGCACCCCGTGGGGCTGTGCCCACACCGACAGTCCCCGCTGGGACCAGTTCCAGCCCCCCACAGGGCTATACTCACCCTGACGGCTCCCACTGGGACCAGTTCCAGCACCCTGTGGGGCTGTGCCCACCCCCATAGCCCCCACTGGGACCAGTTCCCGCACCCCATGGGGCTGTACCCACCCCCACGACCCCCACTGGGACCAGTTCCAGTGCGCCACGGGGCTGCGCCCACCCCCACAGCCCCTACTGGGACCAGTTCCAGCACCCCACGGGGCTGCACCCACCCCCCTAACTCCCAGTACGGTACTGGGACCAGCCCTAAATCCCGGTTTCCCCCAGTGCCGCAACTGCGACTACCAGCAAGAGGCCGACAACAGCTGCATCTACGTCAACAAGATCACGCACGAAGTGGAGTGAGTTAATTAGCGAGTTCGTTAGCGAGTTCGTTAACGATCCCGCACTCCTGGGTCCCAGTCCTGGAGCGTCCCGTCCCAGGGAGGGGCTTAATTTCCCAATTAATAAGGGAAAAGCAATTAAAGAGAAGCGGTGGGGTAATTAATGAGAAGGTAATTAGCTGATTAGGGTAATTAGTAAGAGAAATTAGAGGGGGTGATGGGGGAGGGGTTACTGACAGGAGACAGTCGGGGAAGGTGAGTGGAGCGCAATTAGTGGAGGTAATTAACGAGGGAAAACAGTTTTTGGGTAATTAATAATAATTAGTAAAGAGATAATTGCACCAATTAATGAAAGCGATTGAGTCGCAGCTGGTGGGCAATTAATAAGGGAGGCAGTAACTCAAGGACAATTAACGTGAGGGTAATTAATAGGTATAATTATTTATTAGGAGTAATTAATGAGGGGGGCGGCACGGTCATTAATTCCCCGGGGTAATTAGGGGCACTAATTAACGCTCCTGGCAGCGAGCTCACGCAGATCATCGCCGACGTCTCCCAGGACCCCACGCTGCCCCGCACCGAGGACCACCCCTGCCAGAAGTGAGCAGGACCTGGGGACCCCCCCGGGGACCCCCCAGAGGGACGTGAGGACCCCCCCTGGGGACCCCGCTGGGACATGGAGACCCCCCTAGGGATTTGGGGACCCCCCTGGGGACCCCTCTGTGACATGGAGACCCCCCCTGGGGATTTGGGGACCCCCCCC